ATGTCATTCTTCATTTCCACTTGGTTGGTTTTCAATGTTTCTGTATCTTTACTCATGGTGCTGAGCTCCTTACTCATGCTATTGAGCTTCCTCAAGATCATGGGTCTGGACTCTTCCTCTGATGACTTGCTTAACTGCATTTCATTTAGCTCATCTTCTACTGGGTTTGGATGAGTGTGGAAGGACCCACATTAAACACCACTGTCAAGTCTTACTTTCCTGGATAGGCTATTAGTCTCAGTTACTTGATGAGCCTTAGGTTGTAGCCCTCAGCTAAATGAAAAACTTCCTCAGGTGTTCGGCATAAGAGGATTTCCAGAGGGTGGGCAGATGCTGGTTGTTAATGAGCCTCAATTTGCATTTCTCTGGCCCTTCTGGGTGGGGTTAAATCTCTGAGGGAGGGGCTGCTGCTTCTCTCTAGGACTCAGGGAAGGAGCTCCCGGAGCAAGATGGCCACTGTCCTGTGCAGCCATGAATCAGCAAAAACCCTCAGCGCCCTCCAAATCCCGAGTGTCCTCACACAGTTCCAGTTTAGTCCACCCTCCCTCTCCCAGAGCCCGAGGTGAGTGGCTGTAGTTAATTTAGTGCTCTGCCTCGGCCCTCTGTGCTGTGGGACTGGCTTGGGATTTTAGCCCGAGGGAGCTGCTCACAGCTAAAACAGCTGCTGTCATGGGCTCTCGGCCCGCCCTCTCGCGCCTCCGCAGACCTACCAGGCTTGATTCAGTGTCCTTTTTTTCTGTTCCTGGTGATATGGGCACTCTCCAGCTGCTTTTCTGTTGCTTTTTCCTGACAATTTGTCTTTATTTTAGTTGTAATTCCAGTTTGGTCCTCAGAGATGGTCTGTGTAGCTTCCATTCACTCTGCCACCATTTTGGAATCCTACCCATGTCTTACCCATGCACTGAGAGGGCAGCCAGTTGATGTGTCCCTCTCACATCGATGTTTCTCTCTCTCTCTCTCTCTCTCTCTCTCTCTCTCCCTCCCTCCCTCCCTCCCTCCTACTCTATCTGAAGGTAAGTGGAAAAATATCTTCAGGTGAGGATTTAAAAAAGAAATAAAATAAAATACCAACATGGGCCTTTTTTCCACATACATGTTTGCCATTTGTTTTATTCACGTAACAGTATCACCTGGAGTTCACCTTAGACCATCACATGAGGCTCTAATTCTAAAAGAACCTCATTATACCCCAGTCATGGGAAGACCACTACAGAATTGTCCAGACCTATATTAGGGGACATGAGTGTCGGATACAGCTTTTTATTTTGTTTTGGTTTTCGTATTGATTCTGATATTTTTATTTGGGAAGACTTGATTTCTAAAGCAGATTCACTGAAGCCAAGGCTGCATGTTTAGATGTTAACAGCTTCTTCCAGATACCTTTTCTGAAGGCCCTTTCTCCTCACACCGTGGCCAGCCTGCCGGCCTGCATTCAGGCCAACACTGCCTGCCACCAGCCTGTGTCTGATGGCCTGACGCCAGGTCCGCCTTCCCCGCCCGACTGCCAGTGTGGGAGAGCATGTCTTCACGTGGGGGCGCTTTGGGCTTCAAATATCAGAAAGCCCAGCCCGAAGCGTCTAAGCTGAAAGGGAGATTTGTTCTCTCACCAAACAGAAGTCAGAGGAGGAGCAGGGCCAGGGCTCTCTGCCATCCTCAGTACCCCCGGGCCTCTCCCCGCAGTCACAGGCGAGATAGCAGTGTAGGTCTCGGTGTCCCACTCAGTCATGACAGTGTCTGGGGCAGGGGAGACATGGTCTCCTCCTGTGGGACTCTCCCAGGAGCCCCCTGAACACTCCCCTCTTGCCCAACTGGCCAAAACCGCATCCTAAGCCCGTGGGTGTAGATAAATTGCTGGCGACGGCCAGAGACTAAGGTGACTACTGTCGAACATTGCGTCCTACTGGCGTTTGAAGCCAGACAATGGCTCTGCAGGTGTGCCCGGTGTCACAGGCCATTTCACCTCCCTGCCTCTGACTCGCAGTACCCCTGTTGTACTCCCAACACCCTTTGGTTATCACCATTGCTCCAGGGCTTCTGGGGCTGAGACTGGCCTCCTTCCCTGGAGCAGGTGACTTCACGGAGGAGGCAAGAGATTCTGTTATGAAGGGCAGGGCAGGTAGGCAGGGCGTGCCCCTCGGCAGTTTATTCCATGGTCTCTCCCTTCCCTGGGGTCAACTTCGCTCATTTACATTGGGTTTGGAATCACCCACTTTCTCCAGGTTTTCCAGCCCTCTCTCAGGTTCTCCATCTCCCGGGCTGGGTTCTCGCTTTGCCTTGAGTGTTTGTGGTTCTGCTCTGAGGCAACCGCTACTTGTGGCTGGCCCAAACCCACTCTCGTTCCCGATGGACAGAGCCAGTGTTGGACACAGAGATGTGCCCCATGGAGCAGCTCATCCCCACCTCCCCTGAAGCCACATGCAGCGTGTGACAAAGTTCTGAGGACATCTGGTCGTGTTCGGCTTCTTCGTTTCTTCCCTGGAAACAGACATGTCCGGAGGAGGAGTGACCGTGTCTCCACTGGGAGGCTGGTCACATGTCAAGCTGGGCAAGGGTGCCCTTGTGGCCACACTCCAGCCTCCTTCTGAGTGGGAGTCTGGCTAAGCCCCCGAGTCACATCCAACCTCATGCAGCCAGAGGCGGATCCTAGCTCAGACAATCCCTTTTTCCCTATCGAGCCTCTCAGGGGTTTATCAGCTTTATTTTCTTCCCCAAACACTCAGCTGTTTTGCTGCGTGACTGATCTTTATTGTTGAAAATATTACAGCCCTGGCCGGTTTGGCTCAGCGGTTAGAGCATCCATCTGCGGTCCGGAGAGACCCGGGTTCGGTTCCCGCTAAGGGCACGTACTTCGGTTGCAGTTCGTCCTCGGCCCTGGTTGGTCGCGTGGGTGGCAGTCACTCAATGTGTCCATTCACGTCGATGTTTCTCTCTTTCCTTCCTCTCTCTCCCTCCCACTCTATCTGTACAAAAAAATGGAAAAATATCCTCGGGTGAGGATAAAAAAAAAAAAAAAGAAAAAAAAGATATTACAGATGTCCCCCCCTTTTTCCCCATTGACCCCCCTCTTCCCACCTGATGTTGGCTTTTAATCTTTAGTCATTTCCTTCTACCACCTTCTTTTGATTTGGTTAATTTATTATATATAAATTTTCTTTGGTTTATTCCATACATATATCATGTTATTTATATATTGTTATTTATAATTTATATGTTATTTATATATTACATAATGTTATATGATGTTATTTACTTTCTAGTTATTTTTTAGGTAATACTGTTTTGTCTTTTAACTTAAATTTTTTTTTTTAATTGATTTGAGAGAAACATTGATGTGAGAAACACCCATCAGCTGCTTCCTGTACATGCCCCGATGGGGATCAAACCGGAAACCTGGGTATGTGCCAAGATGGGGAATCAAACCCAGCACCATTTGGTGTGTGGGATGATGCTCCAACCTACTAAGCCACACCCGCCAGGGTTAACTTTCTTTTAATGCAAACCTCATTTAGAAATATATTTTCACTTCTAAATGGTTATGCTTTATTTTGGATTTTTTTTTTGGTAGTCTGTTTCTAGACATCCCCTCTTTAAAAGACAAGCTCTGGAATCGCATTGCTATGGAAGGGACATAGTTTCCTAAGACCTGCTTAGCAAAACAGCCGCCTCCCCCAGGACCCCACCAGCTCTCCCCAGGGACAACCCCTTTAATAACTCGTTGAGCTGATGACCTGGCATTGAATTCCACAATTCTGAACAACATGCTTCTGCTGCTGGAATTTTCCTTTCTAATTTAGCCCGCATCTATTGACTCAGCCTTAGGAGGATGAAGGTTCATCATCTTCCACCGTCTTCCTCCCCCTCACCCCTCCCCTCCTCCTACCAGACTCACGTTGTAATTGTCCTGGGGTTGGGACGCCAGGACATCTAGATTACATTATTATGGCAATGAAAAAATACAGGCAGGTAATATCCTATGATTACTTTTCACTTCCTGCACAGCGATTTCTGTTCCCTGGAGTTAGAAACGGGCGTGTTTTGCTGTGGCCTGGCAGGCGGAGGAGCTTGGCTTACAGGATTTAGCTCCGGGGAAAGGCGGGGTCAGGTGTGCACGGCCTGCTGGCGGAGAACCAGCCCGGCCCGGCGCCAGGGCCCGGCGGGGCGGGAGGATGAGCCCGGCTGGAACTTCAGAACCTGATCAAAGATCCGTCTGCTCCTGCTCCGGTGTTTCTGCCCCTACAAAGGGGGTGTGTTCCTCGGGGAGGTGAACCCGCAGGAAACAAGAGTGGGTTCCGGAGGCCCAGGAGCACAGGGAAGCTAGGAGGGGCCTCGGTGGGGCGCGCCGCGGGCGCGAGGCTGCGGGCAGCGCGGGTTCTGGACGCGAGACCTGGGGAGGGCCGCGCTGGAGGCAGGCCAGCCCGCAGGCGGGGCCGAGGGCGGCCGTGGGCCGGTCACGGCTGCGGAAGTAGGTTCTGGGGGCTCGTCCTGGGCGCAGGGCGACAGGCCAGCAGCCGGCACGCGCCGGCTTGGGCCGGGCCGGGCCGCAGCGGACAGAAGGCGGGCGTCGTTGACCAACTCGCACCAGCGCTCGCTCCTTCAAAACCGTTAAAAGTTCATTGTGAACATTTTCGCACAAGCTCTTTGGAGGGTCCCTGTTTTATCCCGGAGGCGGCCGGGCCCGCAGCAGTTCGCCAGCGTCACGTTTCGCGTTATTTTTCCCTCTCCCCCTAACCTTGCCCCACACTAAGCTGTCCCCTGCGCACGCGCAGTGCGCACCGCGCCTGCCTCTCGGCGTCGGGCCCGGCGGTTGCCAGGGGTGACCGCATTCCCCCAGGACTCCGCGGGTGGGTGGGCGGTGTCGAAACAGCGGAGTCACCGCCCTCACTCTCTAGTTGGCCGAAGCTGCTGTCCGTCGGAAGCGCCGCCGTCGCCGATTGGGCAGCAGGAAATTTCGCACGCTCGGCGCGGGGCGCCCCGCCCCTCCCGCCCGCTGGGCCCGCCACCCTGGTGGAGGAGACAGTGGGACCTGGGGGGGTTCGCACGGCCTCGGCTCCCAGGCGGGCGCGCCCGAGCGGCGACACCGATGATCCCCGAGGAGAGACAAGACAGCCCGGGCACCGGCGAGGAGAGCACCCGGCTGCAGGCGGCTGGCAGCGTCCGCAAGGTGAGCGTGCCCGCGGGGCAGGGCGGGGTGGCGCCGGGAGGAGGGCGCGGGGCTGTGGATCCGCTGGCTTTTCCCGTCCAAGCGCAATGCAGGATTCCCAGGCGGCCGCCTCCCACACCTTGCTCGCCCCAAGAGGCAAGCTGGGCGTACCACTGGGGAAACTGAGGCCCGGGGGAGGGCCACAACCCGCGATGCTTTCCTGTGCTGGGTCCTCTCGCCTTTTCGGCGTCACGTGCGGGGAAGAAGCAGGAGGCCCCTCCTGTGCGGCTCAGGAATGGGGAGGGCGAAGTTGCATCCTGCTCACCGTTTTCTCAGTGCTTTGGGGTCCCTTCTGTGGCAGGTGCTGCACGGGGGTCTGTGACAGCCGGGGCCTCGGGTGTGTTCTTGCGCCTTTCCTAGAACGTCCTGTCCACAGGGCTGTCTGGCTTTGCCCTGGGCACCCAGCTCTGTATTTGGTGAAACTTTGAGCTGCTGGCAGCCGAAGCCTCCAGGTGCGGGAAATGGCTGAAGGGTTTCACCGCTGGGGAGTTTGTTCTTTCTCATTTCCTTGCGCGTGTGCCCCCTTGTAAAGTTCCTAGCCCGCGGGCGCTGACTGTGGACTGTGGACCATTTCCAGGAGTCCGGGCGAAGCTCGGGAAAGGCCGTGGGGGTGGAGACCTGCCCAGTCTGTGTCTGGGAAATAGGGGCGCCCTGGCTGCCTCGCTCTGCAGCCCAGAAGCTGAGTGTCCCCTGGGGGTCACCTCGAGGCTGCCCCAGTATTCATGACAGGGGTTGGGCACCCATGCACCTGCACTTGCGGTGGTGCTTTGTCCCCCCTTCTGTCTCCCGTGTCAGACTGCACAGTGGACCCTGCCTGCTCTGTTCAGCTTTCGTGTGCGTAGGGCCCAGGCCTTGCAGGAAGGAGGAGGAGGGTGTCAGGGGGGACATGGGATCCAAGTTACTGGCCACGTGATGCTGACCAGATCCCCGGAGGGGCCGGCTCCTCCCTCCTCACCCCGAAGAGAGGCCAGGTGCTGCAGCAACTACGTGGGGGGAGAACACTGGTCAGTGGTCCCACAGCATGGGCGCTGGAGAGAGGAGGCCTTTCACCGCCTTTGTGAACTCACTTCCTCGCAGTGCAGCCAGGCCTGCAGGTGGCCTCGGGGAGCACGAGTTGTTTGGATGGGACGTATGGGAGGTGACTCACACGAGATGTTCCAGAGGGCTCAGTGGACAACGCTTTCGGGCTCTGCCCAGCTGCCACCTGGGAATGGTGCAGAGACTGTTTCCAGCCTTCTCTCTGGGATGAGCCAGCGTCCACGTGTCCTGATTGTCCTGACAGGCAGACACCCTGGGCTGGGAGCTGGTGGGCGGGGTATGGACCCAGCCCTCTGGCTTTGAGTGGCACTCTGCACACCTCACATACTCCTCTGTCCTCTTGCCCCAGTGATTCTTGCTGCCTGCAAAGTCTGCCACCAGGCTGGAGGGAGGCTGGTCCTTACACCTGTTATAAGGCTCAGAAGCAGGACAGAACCAGTTAGCCATTCCCATGGAAACCACATCTGGGTCCAGGGCCCCTGTGGGCCAGTGTGGGTGTGCTCTGCCTCAAGAGTAGTGAGAGCGGGTGTCCAGTGGGCACCCCCGGCCCTAGTGCCCAGGGGGGCTCTCCAGCACCAGGCAAGAGCCCACTGAAGAGCAGCCCAGCCCAGTTAGAGGGGCTCTGGGAGTGGGGCCTGAGGTGTGCAGGAACCTCCAGGTGCCCCCTGGGCTCTGTCCCCCCAGCAGTGTTTGGGAGCGATGACAGATGGAGGGTGGGGCATGCTGGGCTTCCACCCTCCTGGGGCGTCCTGTTCCTCTGTGTTCAGGTGAGATCAAGGGAAGGAAGGGCAGGGTCCCTGATACTGGGGGACATCAGCTGGCAGAACCAAGGGCTCTGAGAGGAGGAAGCTGGTGTGCCAGGCCTGGGGCCTCTCCCTGGGACCCAGCGAGGCAGGGGCAGCCTGGGAGGGCGTGGGGGCTCTCCCTGGGACCCCGGCGAGGCAGGGGCAGCCAGGGAGGGCGTGGGGCCTTTGCTGTTTGTTCCTGGCCTGTGCTGGCATAACTGTCTCCTGACTTTTCCCATCTGGCCACCGCCCATGCTGTTTCCTCCTGGGCTGCTGGGGACCATGGGCCTTGAGCTTCCCGGAAGCCAGAGCCACCAGACCTGTCCTGTCGGGCTGCAGCAGTGAGGGTGTGGGGGTCGCTTCTCCGTTCTCCACACCTTTCCACCCCAGCTGGGTTCCGGATGGGGTGAATGCTGATTACCTGACGTCTGCACCCCTTCCCGCTAGCAGATCCCTTCGCCACAGGGCCCAGCTGCGCCCAGTGTGGACAGCAGGCGTGCACAGGGCTTTCGGGTCCGTCCAGCCAGGAAGGTTGGGCTGCAGTTGCTCGTTCCCACACCTCCCACCCAGGTCGCTCCAGCCAGCCTGGCGTGGCGGGAGCCTTACGGTCACGATTGTGAGGGCGCCGCAGAGCTGAGTGCACCCAGCTCCTTCCCCCACTCCCAACACGTCTCCCCAGGCACACTCGACACCAGAGACAGGAACCGTGTTGGTGAGGACGGCCCTGCTGAGCCTGCAGCCTCTGCCCAGCACAGGACCACTCACCCGTCTGAGAACCTGCTGGAGGCCCAGTCGGACCTTCGGAGGGAGGTGGGAGCAGCTGGAGCTCTGGTTGCCTCTCCATCCGAGTCTCGGGCCTCCTCCTGCAGCGTGGGCATGGGGGGCGCTGCGGAGAAGACAGCTGGCAGCCTGGAGGGTGCAGAGCGTGTTTCATCTTGTTCCCTCCTGGTGCCACCCTGGCCAGCACCCCCAACATCTACAGATGAGGGCCCGCCCAGCGTCCCCCAGTGGGGAGTCCTCTGCTGCCACTGCTCTGTCTCCCAGTGCTCAGTGAGGGACAAGTCCCTGCTCCCCAGTTATCTAAAGACCGCTTGTCAGCCTCCGGCCCTTCGAGTCTCAGAAGAGTGCCTCCTTCTACAAGAAGTCTTCCCTGATTGACCTCTGTTGAGAACACTGGAGTTTGGACACATTGGGCCGTAAACCCAGGTGGCTGTGCACAGCAGCCTTCTCTATAGGAGGGTGTGAGGCCGTTTTTAGGGAGCCCTCTTCAAGTGCTGGGGTAAGCTGGAGCCCCAGAATGTCTGAAACTGCCTTGTGCGTGACAGTGAGGGGTAGACCACGGAAGAGAGGCCACACGGCTCAGGGGACATGGCAGACAGCAAACGCTGCAGGGAGGCTGAGGTCTCCGTTCCGTGCCATCTGGGCAGCGTGCTGTGAGGCCCTGTGTCCTCGTCTCGCTCTGGTCAGGGGTGTAGTGAATGCCCATGTGGGCATTGACCGGGGAAGTCCTTCCTGATCCCTGGGCTGGAGACTGACCAAAAGAGGAGGCCCCTACATGGCCAGCAGGAGGCGTGGTGGCCACGGCTGTCACCCGTGGGTCCCACTGGGCTCTGAAAGCCGCTCAGGGTTCTGCTCCCCTGACCCCCACTGCAGAAGCCGCTCACCCGCCCTGGCTGGGGCACCACCCCATCCGCAGCACCACCGCCGTGAGGAGTCCACACAGCACTCCTCACTGGGCCCCAAGATGCAGGCACGACTGCCCGTGTGCAGTGAGGGTTGCAGCCGAGGCGGCCAGTGGGCCGGCAGCAGGCCTGTCTTGCTGCCTGTGAGCCAAACGACCCTGGGCCTGTGGTTTGGGCATTTGCCAAAGGGTCCCCACGAGTCATCGGCCAGCTGGACCGGAGCCCAGCAGCAGCGTGGGCCAAGTGCTGCATGGAGAGGTGGACCCAAGAGCCAGCCTCCAGTGACCTGCGGGCCCTGGGTCGCCACCCCCAGCACCCCCTCCCAGCCTAACCCTAACGGGGTGCTAGAATGATTGTGTGGATGGGTGGGTTGTGGAGGCTGTGGAACGAAACTCCGAAGTGCAGAAGGATGGCCACCTTCTGCCCGGGCCTCCCAGAGCTGACTGGGTGTCCAGGCTGGGCCGAGACCCAGAGCCCCGTCATGCTGCCGCTGGGTCCCACGGTCAGCCCAGCTTCTGTCTAGGGTCAGTCCCAGCTACGTCCCATGCCCACATGTCTCTCCCGCCCACTGCCCTTCTTCCTGGCATCACTCTGAGCCCTGGCTCCATGCTCATCTGTCCCAGCCAGCTCACCCCCTTCCCCTTGGGCAAGAGACCCCTGGCCCAGCCTCAAGGGTGCTGTGCAAGTGTGAGCTGCTGACGGGCAGCTGGCCTCTGACTGGTGGCCTCTCTGCAGGGCTGTGACATCCTGGCACAGACCCAGCGCGGCCGCCTGCAGAGCCGGAGGGCCTGTATTCACCAGCAGATCAGCAAGGAGCTACGGATGCGGACGGGCGCTGAGAACCTCTACAGGTGAGCACTGGCCACCAGGGCCTCCGGAGAGCAGATCCGCCACCCCGAGGGCCCCTGCGAGCCAGGCCCGTGCTGGGCATGAGGGCAGGGTGGCAACCCAGGCAGTGCCTGCCCTCCTGGTCGGGTCTGGGAGAGGGACACATGAGCAGGTGACCGTGGCCAGAGCAGACTGCTGGGAGTTGGGGCTGGGCCTCCCACCTGGGTCTAGAGCAATCCTGCCACTCAGCCAAGGCCTCACAGACAACCCAGGCCCCCACCCCGTGGACCGCACTGGCAGGGATCGGCTCAAGGCCCGCTGAGCTGCATGCTGGGCTGGAGCAGAGCTGGAGGGGTGCTCATGCCGGTGTACACCTGGGAGCCTCTGATATGCCTGTGGGGACCCGTGGGGGCTTCTCAGAGGAGGCACTGATTAGGCTGAGCTCTGGCAGGTGACCGGTGTCCCAAGGTTGGGGACCCGGAAAAGGCCCCTCTCCTTTTGGGCACATGAGCTGCACAGCTCAGACCTCACACACATCTCCATGAGCCTGCTCTGTGGGTAATGGTCCAAGCCACAGCCAGTGATCATAGAGACAAAAGCTCCAGGATGGGGCTCTGCTGGGCCCACGGGCCCCTCCTCTTCCTTCGCAGCCTGGCCTCTCTGTCCACCCCATCCCTGCCTCAAGCCTGACCTTCCTAGGGATCCATGGCTCCTCTGCTAGGCACCCAGATGCAGGCACAGAGGGTCTGCGCCCCCTCCCCGGGAAGTGGGCTTGGGTTGTCTGTAGGAGGCAGTCTTCATTCGGGCCGGCAAGGTGGAGGCAGCTGTGTCCTGGGCCAGAGGTGGGATCTGCATGGACCACAGGAGACTCAGGAAAAGGGCAGGGCATCTTGTGGGCCTCGGACCCCACTGCTGCCCCCTGGAAGTGGGTTCTGGAGCTCAGGGTGAACGAGGTGCAGCATGGCCCAGGGGCACCTAGCCTACCTACCAGGCTGGCGCCTCACCTCAGCCTGGTCTCCCCAGAGCCACCAGCAACACCCGAGTCAGGGAGACAGTGGCCCTGGAGCTGGGCTACGTCAACTCCAGCCTGCAGCTGCTGAAGGAGGAACTGGAGGAGCTTGACTGCAGCGTGGACACAGACGGGCCCAGCAGGTGTGCGCGCGTGTATACCCATGTGTGTACATGTCTGTGTGAGAGGTACATGAGCCAGGGCGGCACCTGTGTGGTGTGTGTGGATGTGCAAGGATGTGCCTTAGAGTCAGGGAGAGGGGTGTCGTGTGTAGCAGGAGTGGTAAGGGGTGGACTGCGTGGCTCTGGGGACAGCAGGGTCCAGCCTTAGAGTCTGGATTCGATACTTCTGGTTCTAGCGAAGGGATCACTGTCCCCATGATTCCCCTGGGGCTGAAGGAGACCAAGGAGCTGGACTGGTCCACAGCGCTGAAGGTGAGTGCTGGCCTGTGAGCCCTGGGGTCTGGGGAGATCTTGAGGCCCAGAGGGAGGAAGGGTCTGATCTGTGGATGCCCAGCCTCCCCGGGCTGCAAGGGATGCTGTGTGGGCGGGGCTTGGAGATGCTCCCGGCTGGGTGGGTGTAGCAGAGCTGGCTGTCCTGCTAGAAGCCTCTTCGTGGCCACAGGGTCCCCTGACTTGCTCTGAGGGTCCCAGTGGCTGGAATCTGCACCCTGCAATCATGCCCGTGGCATGGGGTGCCTGCCACACGGGACTAGTAAAGGAACTCGAGTAGAAACAGCACCAAGTCTCTGGGCCCACATCTGCGGTGATAGGGGCTCCCCGTAGCCAGAGGTGGGGACCCACGTCAGCCCTTCTCCAGGGGCCAGGGCCTTCCCCTCCTGTGGTCTTCCCCACGCTGCACTGGGAGACTCCAGAGAAGGCCAGTGCCTGCCCTGCCCCCCCAAACAGGAGCTGATCTCTGGGCACTTTGGAGAGGATGGCAGCTCCTACGATTCCGAAATCCGGGAGCTGACAGACCTTCGGCAAGTGGGTGGGCCCTGCCCCGCCCCGCCCCGCCCCGCCCTACCCAGTCCCGCCCCACCTGGCCCCGCCCCACAGGGAGGCCGGCCACACTCGGTTTACAGATGAGGCTGTCCCTGACAGCAAAATGGAGCCCGGTTAGAAGCTGACACTGCAGGCGTCCACCATGGACATGGGCACACTGGGTTTGCATGCACTCCAGGGCACCCTAGCACGTAGATGGCTCTGTGCATGCCAGGCCCACGGCCCTTTGGGCATGGCTGCTCTGTGCCTGCCCCTCCCCGTGCCCTTCACAGTCTCCTGGAAGGACAGACATGCTCCCGTGTGACCCTGTCCATTCGAGGCCCTGGCTGCCCTGTGGAGCTGCAATGCCCAGGGCGGTCCCCAGGGCGGTGGGTGTGTGGTGGGTAGGCCCAGCCAGCTCCTGCCCCCAGGCCATGCGGACGCCCAGCCGGAGTGAGTCAGGCCTGGAGCTGCTCATGGCCTACTACAACCAGCTCTGCCTGCTGGACGCTCGCTTCGTCACCCCAACCGGGAGCCTGGGGCTGCTCTTCCACTGGTAGGCCGAGCGGGGCGGCCTGGGCCCCGCCTGTACCCCACTTCTGAACTTCTGGGTGGTTGCCCTGGCGCCCCACCAAGCCTGACTCGACCCTGCAGGTACGACTCGCTCACAGGGGTCCCAGCCCAGCAGCGGGCCCTGGCCTTCGAGAAGGGCAGCGTGCTCTTCAACATCGGGGCCCTGCACACCCAGATCGGGGCCCGCCAGGACCGCTCCTGCCCCGAGGGCGCCGGCCTGGCAGTGGAGGCTTTCCAGAAGGCTGCGGGTGAGCGGGCCCGGCGGGCAGGGGCAGGGTCTGCTGTTTCAGCTGCCGGCTCTCCTCTGGGGCCAGAGCGGGGCAGGACGGGCCCGCGTGAGGCTTGGTCTGCACCTGTGGGGGTGCTCGTGGCCTGAGGGGCAGCCCTGCCAGGCACTGTGAGCACCCCTTCGCAGGGGCCTTCAGCCTGCTGAGGGAGAAGTTCTCCCGCGCGCCGAGCCCCGACATGAGCCCCGCCTCCCTCGCCATGCTGGAGCAGCTCATGATTGCCCAGGCCCAGGAGAGCGTCTTCGAGGGCCTCTTGCTGTCGGCCCCCGGGGGCCCCCATGACGGCTCGGCCCAGCTGCGCCTAGCTCAGGAGGCTGCCCAGGTGAGGCCGGAGCCCTGTCCGGGGAGACATGCGCAGGCGTCTTGGCCCCGGGCTGGCGGCCAACCTGGGAGCCCGAGTCCTTGCTCTGGGACAGCTAATCAGGGCAGGAGCTGGGGGCAGGGCTGCTGGGTCTTGGGCGGGGCAGGTGGATGCTGGTCCCTAGGGTCGGGAGAGGCAGGTGCTGCGGCGGCTGGGTGGGGCCCTGCTGGGCTCCTCCTGGGCTCCCTCCAGAGCTCCCACTGCCCTGTGCACGGGCAGGTGGCGGCCGAGTACGAGCTGGCGCACCGGGCCATGGCACAGCCGCCAGTGCGAGACTACGTGCCCTTCGCCTGGACCACCCTGGTGAACGTCAAGGCGGAGCACTTCCGGGCCCTGGCCCACTACCACGTGGCCACCGCCCTCTGTGACGGCCCCCGTGAGTGCCCCGCCCCGAGAGCCTGGGTGCCGCAGAGGCCCCGGCGCAGGGGGCTCATGCCCCTCTCTGACCCCAGCAGCCGAGGCCGAGCTCCCGGTGCCGGAGCAGGTCCTCCTCGGGGCCCCGGCCGAGCCCTGGTGCCCAGCACTGCCGCAGGAGCCTGAAGAGCGCAGGAAGCTGGGTGAGGCAGCCACAGGGGTGCGGGGCCCCGCAGGGAGGCTGGGTGCCCCCGCCATTCACAAGTCGCCCTTTCTGGGCTCACCTGGTGTCCCAAAGCTGGCAGGTGGAGGAGCCAGCCTGCCTCCTGGATGCTCCCGCCTGGTGGGGGACTCCCGAGAAGGGGCCCCAGCAGCTAGGGCGGCCTTTAGGCAGCTGGGCACACGTGGGAGGCGTTTCCCTGGCCCCGCCTGCACCCCTGGCAGCTCCTGCTGACCCTCAGGATGAACCCAGAAGCTGTCACCGGCCCTTCCCTCGCACATCTGGGGGGGCAGCTGGGGCGCAGCTTGGAAGGGCCAGTGGGCTGCGTGGGACACGATGTGCCGGCCACCCGCAGGCAAGGCCCACCTGAAGCGCGCCATCCTGGGGCAGGAGGAGGCGCTGCGGCTGCATGCCGTGTGCCGCGCCCTGCGCAGTGTGGACCTGCTGCAGGTCGTGCTGGGCCAGGCGCTGCGGCGCTCGCTGGCCAAGTACTCGGAGCTGGACCTTGAGGACGACTTCTTCGAGGCCATCGAGGCCCCTGACGTCCAGCGTGAGAAGCCAGTCCCCTTGGGATGGGTGTGTCCTGGATGTGGGGGGCTGGGGCCCCTGCAGTTGACAGTCACCTTCCACAACCCGCAGAGCTGAGCCCCAGAGGAGCCAGGCGCTTGGGGGACACCCACGCTGCAGCCCCCTTGCTCTGAGCCCCCACCCTGCCCCTGATTTGTGCCCCAGGGGGAGCTGCAGCCTCCCAGACAGATACCCCCAGGCCACGGCCCAGTGCTCCCTGGGCAGGGGCCACCTGGGGCTCCTCCCACTGGTGGGGTCAGCCCGGCCGTAGACATCCAAGAGGGACCAGTGTCACCCACTCTGCTGTGGCTGAGCTGCATCCAGCTTGTGCCAGGGACCTGGGGGCCCATGAGCCTCGGGCCTCACCCTGCCCCCCCTTCACCTTTGCCCCTTCAGCTAAGACGTGCCAGAGGCCGGAGGTCAAGGTCCCCAACTTCTCCCAGGTGAAGGTGGCTGATATCTTCCACCGGCTGGTGAGCACCCTTCCCGTCGTCATGCCCTGGGCGAGCCCCCAGACAGACCCACTGTGGTGACCCAGCCCTGCCTGGCACCTCGTGGGTTCTGTCCCAGGATATGGAGATCGGGCTGGGGGTGTTATAGGCCGGGGCTCCTCCAAGAGCTGCCCTGCCAGGCCTCTGACCTGTGAGGTCCCCCAGGGGCCCCCGTCCGTGTTCTCAGCCAAGAACCGCTGGCGGCTGACGGGTCCCGTCCACGTGACCCGAGGGGAGGGTGGCTTTGGCTTCACGCTTCGGGGCGACTCGCCAGTCCTCATCGCTGCGGTCATCCCTGGGGGCCACGCTGCGGTAAGGGCCAAGCCTGGCGGAGCGGAGGGGCTCGGGTGGAGGGGCAGACGGGACTGGGCGGGGGTGGGCCGTGGACTCGGGCCGACCCCTGTGTCCCTGCAGGCGGCCGGCCTGCAGGAGGGAGACTACATCGTGTCCGTGGACGGGCAGCCCTGCAAGTGGTGGAAGCACGCGGAGGTGGTGGCCCGGCTGAGGGCTGCGGGCGGTGAGGGCGCCAGCCTGCAGGTGGCCACCCTGCTGCCCAGCGCGGAGCCGCCCGGCACGGTGAGTGGCCCTGGTCCCGCCCCGCCCTGGGCCTCCCGGCTGCACAGGTGCTGCCAGGGCCTTGGGAACAGGAGGCTGGCGCGGGGGCGCCCTCCTGGGGGCTTCCACCTGGCAGCAGTCCCCTGCCTGCGAGCGCACAGCCCCCGCTTCGTGTGGCACACCCGTGGGGACCCTGCTGCTGGGCTGGCCTCACGTGAACCTCTGACATGCCCCCGGCACACATATGTGCCTCCTCCTGTCACATGGACAGGCTGGCCACAGGCGGGCCACGCCACGGCCGCTGACCGCAGCACCTCTCGTCCCGCTCACAGGGAGACCGCCGGCCGGCCCTGCGCGGGCTTCTGAGGAGCCAGAAGGCGTGTGGCCGGGAGACCCCAGGGCCTGCCAGAGCCAGCCCCAGGCCCCTCCTTGGCTGGGGCCGCAAGGCCAAGAGGGGCAAGACTGGAGGGAGGCTGTCCCCGGCCCCCCAGCCCTGAGCTGCACCGCCTTCCCCTCCGGGTGCCAGGGCGGCAGTGAGGGGCCGGCTCCCTCACAGCGGGGCCCAGCATAGTCTCCGGCTGGTGGGGAGCGGGGACCCCTTGTGGCCTGCCCCGACCCGGAGGACCTTCCGGCCAGTTTGTTGCCCAGCCCAGTGCCCAAGCTGCCCATTAAAGCCAGTGTCAGATGAGGGGTGTCTGAGCCCAGTGCTGGGGACCGGGCACTGCACCCACGTGAGAAGCGCTGTGTCTCCCTGGACACGGGCCTGGAGGCTGCCTCCGGACAGCCCTGTCCAAGGAGGGCAGCCCCAGGTCAGGTGGGAGTCTAGCCACTTGTCTTTGAGCCTGAAGGCGCTGTCGCTGAGGGCTGGGCCAGGGCCGGGTGATACGTCAGCAGTGGGTCCCTGAAGCCTGGATCCTCGCTCCCCTTGCGGTGGGCTCCCAAGACCCCTCAGTTGGCCTGTTTCCCTCCTCCTGCCCCCACAACATACCATGCCCTGTCCACACCCTCTCTCAGGGTTGGGTTCCCCCTAAGCCAAGCTCCTGCCTGGCCCACAGTGATCCCTGCCAGGCAGCCCTCCACCAGCCTGCCAGGCCCCCCGCAGCCTGGCCTCCAGGCCTCCTTCCTGGCTGTCCTTCCCTTCACAGCTCCAGGGTGCCCAGGGCATGGCCTTCCCTCCCAGCAGGGCTCCAGCAAGGCCCACCCCTGCCACACCTGGTACTGTCCCCATGTGCACGGAACAAGGACCCCTTCCCTGCTTCTGTTCTCCCTTCCCCTCCTCCTGACACACCCCCTCTCGTGTGGAGGGCCTAGCTCTCATACCAGCCCCAACCTGCTGCTCAGTGTCCCCCCTCGACAGCACCTCCCGCCGCCCCACCCCCCTCATGCTGGCCCTGTCCCGCAGCCCTTCCTGGGCCCAGGGCCAGCACCAAGAGGGTGCCCCCAGCCTGCTCTGGCCCCTTGGGCTCTACACTCCAACCCGGTGGCACTGGCTGGGCTCCTCGGACTGTGCTCCCTGTGTCCCCAAGCTGCATACATGAGGGGAACTACCCCAGATGTCCCCAGTGGTCACACTGCCCCAGGCCCCTGGAAGGCTGCCTCAACCTGGGCCAAAGGTGGGCATGAGGCCCTGCCCGGTTGGGGTCATGTGGGTGGCGGCCAGTCGATGTGTCTCTCACATCAATGTTTCTTTTCCTCCCTCCCGCTCTATCTGAAGATAAATGCAAAAATGTCCTCAGGTGAGGATAAAAAACAAAAAAAACAAAAGTCGTCCCATGAACTGAGAAGTCCTGGCTCCGTCCCAGGTCAGGGCTCATGCCCAGGCTGTGGGCTTGATCCCCAGTGCGGGCGTGCAGGGGGCAACGGGTGGGTTCCTCTCTCACATTGTTTGTCTCGCTCCCTTCCTCTCTAAAAAATAAAATAAAAACATTTCTAAAAAAAACCATTTCCTCAAGTGGAGATTAAAAAGGCGGGGAGGGTTGCGAGTGGTAGGCCCGCAGGCCTGGGCAGACTGGGATTGAGGGTCCAGCTGGTCGGGGTCACTGTGGCCACCAGAGGGCAGCCGCTGCCCGCTCAAGCGGCCGCAGGGGGCGGATCGTCCGCAGAGGCGGTATCGGGGCGGGCAGGCAGCGGACGCGGGAGAGCAAGGACCCCCGCTGCAGCCCGAGACCCCGCCCCCTCCCTCCTCCCTCCTCCCTCCACGCGTCCTCCCCGTCTCCTTCGTGGGGTCCCGAGACAGGAGCAGCCCGTGGGACCTGGTCCCTGCGTCCACCATCTCTCCTGCTTCAGTGCTATTGGGGGTGGGGGGGAGCATGGGTGAGTGGGAGCGAGTGTGGGGGAGTGAGTGGGTGTGGCCAGGGGTACAGGTGTGTTTCTCGAGATCCACCTGCCCTTCCAGGGAGAATGCCCCTCTCAGCAGAACTGGCCAAGGTCACCTCAGCACGTATTAATTTGATTAATAAAACTGTGCGTCAAGGAGGCCATTACCTGCTAATCGGAGATGACAGGCTGGCAGGTCCTGTCCGGGAGAGTGCAGGGACTCCCGCGCCTCCTGCGTCTCTCTGGACCCAAGAGCACTGGGCCTGGGGGGAGCCGGGGAGCTGCTGACTGCACAGGCCGTCAGGGAGGGGCCCCTCCCAACACTGCGCCCCTCCCCCTGCAGACCGCCTGCGGTGCCCAGCCCCTGGGGCCTCTCCCAGCCCCTCCCCTGCCCCGCACGTCGGGCCTCTCTCCTGGCTGAGTCCGCTTCGGGCGGACTGCTCCGGGAGGCCTGGGAGATGAGGTCAAGGGCACACCTTCGGGCCTGGCAGAACCCGCAGCTTCACGCCAGTGGTCAGTCATGGCCTGCACCCCACCCCAGGAGCAATGCTGTACCCTCTGGGGACCAGGACCTGGAGGAGAGAGCAGTGGCCGTGTGCTGGCACTGTGGGTGATCCCTGCCACAACCCGTCCTCAGCAAATGGGGCTCAGGGTCAAGTCAGTGCCAGCTTTGTGTGTGCTGGGGGTGGGGGGCCTGTCCAGACCGGGTGAGGAGACAAACGTCTTTTCCAAGTGGCATTGGCTGCCTAGACTGGGGCCAGCGCACGGGTGTGCGCGCATGTGTGGGTGTTCGTGTGTCAAGGTAGGTGGGTGCCTGCCGGGCGCACCCACTGCGCTCTGCCTGTCCGGGAACCTGGCCTCTTCCCATCCGCCTGTCCCCACGCCCGAAGCTCCATCCTAGCTGCTGCCCTCCCTGTGCTCTCTGCCCACCTGGTTTCCCGCTGGCACCTCTCAACCTTCCCCAAACTTGGGCACACCTCATGTCTCGGGCTTGGCCCCCATTTTCTGGCCCAGCCACATCACCCTTTGTCACTGTGTCACAGACGGGCCGCGGGCCGCGGGCCGCGGGAAGGGACTGCATCAGCTCACCCACAAGTTTTATGAACACCTGGGCAGATTCGGCGACTGCGTCGTGTCCACACGTGTGCCATCCGCGTGGGCGGCAGCAAGACACAGCGTGGCTCCCGGCGCCCAGCGCGGATCGGGGCCCGTGGGCGGCGTGGGAGGGAGCAGGGCTGCGCGCACAGACGCAGCGCGTGTGCAGGGAGGGCCGGTGCTGGGACCGCGGGCGGAGGTCCCCAGTGCGAGCCTGTGCGGCGCCCCCGTCCGCGCGCCCCTGGGCGCACCGGGAGGCGCGGCAGCCCCCGCAGGAGCGGCTCATTTTCCAGAGTGGTCCCCCCTGGGCCGGGAGGTCGGGGGTGAGCGCGCGCTGCGATCCTTTCTGCTTTGCCAACAGAAAGCTGCGGAGAGGGGAGAAGGCAAACTCCGTTTCGCTTGGGTCAGCAGTGAGCCGGGCGCAGAGATTAATGTGAGGAGAGGCGCTCGGCGGAAGGGAATTGGAGGAGGCCTGGGGGGGGGGGGGGCAGGCGGGGCCAGGGCGCAGTGATCGACAGCGACAAGCAGTGCGGGGGGGGGGGGGGGGCCCCCGGGAAGGAGTCCCTTCCCAGACTTCCTCTGCCCCCTGCCCCCTCCCAGTTCACTCTCCTCCAGGCTCCCATCCCACCCACTCCCCTGTCCCTTCACCCCTGATCTCTCATCATCTGCCCCGCTCAGTCCTCTCCCTCAGCAGCCTCAGTCTGCCCTCCGTCTCCTAGATGTCACCCTCTGGGCTGAACCCCTAGGAGACAGACCGGCCAATCTGAGAGGTGGTGAGACGCCCCAGAGTTGCACGGCCACCTGAGGGCCAGCCAGGGCGGCCCCCGCCCGGGATCAGAGGTGGGGTGCATGAGAGGAGGGGAGCGGGAGAAGCAGCATTCTTCCAGAGAGCCTGGGAGTTCGGGAGGCCCTGCCCAGGAGCAGCTCCGAGCTGGAGGCCAGGACAAGGCAGGACAGCTGGGGTGTCCTTCTGAGGGGGCCTGAGCCCTGGAGCCCAAAGCGGGGGCTCTGCTGGACTTGCTGCCAGACTGTAATGGGCTCACTGGGGGCCCCAAAGATTTGACCGCTGGTGTGGCTCAGTGGATTGAGTGTCACCCCCTGGACTGAGAGGTCCCACTTCAATTCCTGGTCAGGGCACATGCCTGGGTTGCAGGCTTGATCCCCAGTAGGGGGCGTGCAGGAAGCAGCTGATCAATGTTTCTCTCACATTGATGTTTCTATCTCTCTCTCCCTCTCTCTAAAAATATCAATAAAAACATTTTTAAAAGAAAAACAGCCCTGACCACTTTGGCTCAGCGGTTAGAGCGTCGGCCTGTGGTCCAGAGAGACCCGGGTTCGGTTCCCGCTAAGGGCATGTACCTTGGTTGCCGTTTGTCCCCGGCCCTGGTTGGGTCGTGCAGGTGGCAACCACTCGATGTGTCCCTTTCACGTCGATGTTTCTCTCTCTTTCTCCCTCCCACTCTATCTGAACAAAAAATGGAAAAATGTCCTCGGATGAGGATAAAAAAAAGAAAAGATCTGGCTACATAGAACCTGTGAATGTGCCCCTGTCTGGGAAAAGGGTCTTCACATTGCGAATTAAGGGTATGGGGTGAGGTCGTCCGGGGTTACTCCGTGGGCCTGAATCCATGACACACGTGTCTATAAGAGACAGGAGCGGACAGGGTCATATGAAGACAAGGTGGAGGTCCGGAGTCCTCGAAGCTGGGAGGGACTGGCGGGATCCTGCCCTGGAACAACTTTGATCTCAGACTTCCACCTCCATAACGTGGGGGATGAGTTCCTGTCGTTTTAAGGCTCCAGGTTTATGGTGATTTGTTCGAACAGCTGCAAGAAACCAGTACAGTAACCTCATACAAGTTCCCTGTGTCTGGGCCTCAGTTTGTCCTTCTGTAGGATGGACATAATCAGATAAGACCCCAGGGGTTGGATTAGAGTGGTGGGCTCAGCCTAGGATGCCAGAAATACCCCGACATTGGGGAGGCTGCCCCACCCCCTAGATTCTGAGGGGCAGGGCTGAGCCACCCCATCACAGCGGCCTGAACACCTGTACTTCAGGATGTCCAGCTGGAGGCTGACCCCCACCTGCCCGCTGCTCCCCACCCCCCCAGAGCATCACCCAGGAAGCTGCTGGTGTGTCTGAGGCTGGGACGGGGACAGTCTGGAGGCCCCAGGAAAAGGCTGGGAGAAGACTCTCAAGGAAAAATGCCTGGTGTGGATGGCAGGGTGCTGTCCCAGAGGGCAGAGGCCAGAGCTGGGAGGAGTGGGAAGGGAGAGGAGGAGGCGGGGAGTGGTCAGCTCTGTGTCCAGGCCCCCGGGGCAGCCCTGCAGAAGGGAGCTGGAGCTGCAGGCTGGCTGAGTGGAGGGCTGAGATCTCTCTGGAGGATTTAGGTGGACATGGGGCCCAGGAGGCTCAGGGCCTTGTGGGTCGGGCAGCTGGAGGCCAGGGTTCAGGCGGGCCGTCCAGGGCCCAAAGGGCCCCGAGCTGGCGGGAGCAGACCAGGCCGGGGCAGCTGGCACTGGAGGTCAGACCGCCCTACGCCCT